GAGAAGATTCTTGGACCAGACCACCCAGACACCTTAACAAGTGTCAACAACCTGGCTCATGTGCTACGATACCAAGGAAAGTACGATGAATCGGAGGCGGCGAATCGGCGTACACTGAAGGGGCGTGAGAAGATTCTTGGACCTGACCACCCAGACACCTTAATAAGTGTCAACAACCTAGCTACTGTGCTACAGTTCCAAGGAAACTACGATGAATCAGAGACAATGCATCGGCATGCACTCGACCAGCGCAAGAAGATTCTCGGACCAGACCACCCAGACACCTTAATAAGTGTTAGCAATCTGGCTAGTGTACTTCAAAGCCAAGAAAAGTACAAGGAATCAGAGAGAATGCATCGGCATGCACTAGAGCAACGCAAGAAGATTCTTGGACCGGGCCATCCCAAAACTCAATTGAGTGCTAACAACCTGGCTGCAGTGCTGCGGCTCCAAGGAGATTCTGACGATTCCAAGACGGTTGACGGGCGTGCGGGGCAGACACTTTCAGGCAACCTAGAGGGTCAGCGCCCTCAATTTGCTCGCCGTGTTGTCCGATATTTTTTTCGCAGGAGAGTAGTCTTCCGCAAGGGTGGTGGGCCCACAAGGTGATGCGTTGTATCGCCAGCAGCCTCGTAGGGCTAGAAGCGGCAGGAATGTGTTACTGGTTCCCACCGGGGTGGCGGTAGGGATACACGGTGACGGTGCTCGACCGTGTGGAACTGGCAAGAATGACGAACCAGAGGCATGTGCGGTGGGCTATCGCATTGAGCATGGAGAAAGTGCGACATGTTGGGATTTTTTTTAATTCTTTTATTACATTTTTTTTTTAATTTTTCCTTTCCTCTTTCAGATATATGTTGGTTTGTGTGATAGGAAACGATGCAGCATCATATGTCCCCCCACCCGAAAAGCTCCTGCTATGATAGTAACCCCTTTACCGCCCATAATCGTTTCAAGTCACTCGTCTATTACGAGTATTATTCACCCCGCGATCCTAAATGCGAAAATACAATCCGAGTTATCCACCAACCTCCTGTGCGCTACGTGCTGGTAGCTGTCCCCAAGGATCCCTAGCAGGCCCTGCGCGGCCCAACTTTGTAACAAATTTGAAGGAACTCCAGTACACCTGTCGCTCACCTAATATCATATCCTCCACAGGGTCGGGCGGGCTATGAACCACAGCTCGGACACGCTCCTATGAAATCAATGGCGGCGATATGATACGGTGATGTCTGAGACAATGAGCTGTTGTCCAGAGTTTTACGAAACACGCTCTCACTCGTCTTTCACAACCGTACACATTCAACTAATGTGCCATCGAGCAAGTTTATAAACTATTTACTATCTATATTGTTATTTCCCCCCGTTTTGCGAGACAGCAGACGCACGCTCTATTTATTTACCGGGAAAATATATTGTGGCAGATCATCCCGCTGTTGAAAAGATATGGTAGAAGAAGAAAGGTTAGAAGTATCGAAGTGGAGGGTTCGTGTGGGGAAGGAAAGGTGTGTGTCTAGGGAAGACAAGGGAAGTAGAGGGGAGAGCACAAGGGAGATGGGATGGGATGGGATGGGAAGAGGACGAGAAATCACAGAATGCGGGGTTTCCTTATGCTTTCTTCTTATCCCATAGTCTGTTGAAAAAGCGGCCAACTTTTAGCGTTCCGGAGAGCAGGTGTGTTCATGCATTAGTCTGGTGAAAATTGCTGCAATAAGGTAAGTATTGCTTCTGGAACCTTACCCTCATACCTCCAGGTATTATGTTATCTCCAGAACCGCATTCTCCTTGGAGACTAGGCCACTTTTAGTGCATACCGTATCATACCCAGATTTACTCACGGGTGAGCCGGATATACCGGTATATTAACTAGGTTTCAGGTCTCAAGTATCAATGGACACAGCCAAACGGTATAGATATGATGCGAGGGAAAGTAGTTTAGCGGGCTTCGCAATGATCCCATTTTGATTAGCGCCCATCTTGGCGTGGCCCACTACAATCTGTGGGATAAAATTTTCTGTTTGCCTATAGATGGAACGACCAGGAGAGGGAGTTGTGGTACAGTACCGTACTCGTAGGTCGGAAGCCGGAATCTCACATCATACCATTCCGGGACGGCAGAGTCCTACTGGTATGTAAAAAATCGGCCCAGGTACGGTACAGGAACGCTGAGAATCTTGGAGTGATGGGATGGAGGGCCCCTCCCCGGGTGGACTCGCGGAGGGAGCAAGAAGTAGCCGGGGGGTGTTTTCATGCCGACTGAGGTTTGTATGATACACGATGACTCGTGCTGCGCAGGTGAAGGGAGAGCTACATATCATATCTCCTCTCCGTTCGGACCTGAAAGCTTCAGACATGTAGAAACCTGTGTGCAATTGGACAGGCGACTTAGCATGATCTGTGTTCGCACACTCGACTCGCTTAACATTCACCGATTTCCTACTCGTGATCATGCCAGCCTCGCCCGTCCCCCGATGCTACTTGTCATATTTCACTAGGGACCTCCTACAGGTACAAGGGTAGACCATGAATTCATGGTACAGAGCAGGGGGGTCATTCTTCGTCGTAAAGGCAACTTTGGTACAGTTGAAAAAATCTGTGTTTGAGTGCACTCAAGTGATTTTATACTATAAATGGCCAGTTTCACACACTTATTCCAGCACCAATACCAAAATAAAAAATAGGAGAACTTCATAGGATGTTTATAAAATGTTTATGCTACTTTACTATGATTGAAACCTCAAATGATATAAATTCTCTGAGGAGTAGTAGCATAAAACCTTCCCTTAAAATTATGCCAAGACCATTGTTTTGGTAGGAAAACTGTGTCTTGGCAGAATTTAAAAGTTCAATTACATACTACTCTTAAGAAGTTGGGAGCTGAGTGGATATTTTTAGATATAAATGGTGTCCTTACTATTTCCAGTAGTTTTATGAAGAGTTTGGATTTTTGTGAATTTTCTCTCATGTAATATCTTGGATTCAAGAACTCTGGTTTGGACAAAATTATGGTACACCTCTGCAAGCGCTGTACCACTGCTCTCCAACCTCTGATCCCTGCTCTGTACCATCAATTCATGATCTACCCTTGTACCATATGCCTCCACCATGCTTGTGCGTGATGACCCAAGTCGGCTAACCTTCATGGCCCTCACATAATCACAAGTCTCAAATAATTGCTACGAAGCACACGTGTTGTGACTCATCTCCCACTCTTCGAAATCTGCCCCAGCTCGGATTGTACGGTACGGTACTCGTACAGTAGATGTCTGATGAGTTTTTAAGGTAGGATTATGAGCTAATTTCGCCATGACGATAGGGCAGCCTCTTATCCAGAAAATAACCTGGTAGGAGGTGAAGGTTTCTTTCCAACGATGGGCGAAGAAACTTTATTCGTGTATCGGCATCATTTGGTGGCCTCAAGTTTGTATTCCCAAAAGGTTCAGCTGATGCCTATTCCAAAAATGCACGTTAGCCTGGAGGATGCGGTTGGGAGTTGTCTACCTATCGTCTCCAGCCTCATGCGGTGTAACGAGACATGCACCAAATGCTGATAACCGCCTGGACCGCGACCAAAGTCAGCCCAAGCGCGAGGGCATTCCACAAACTACCAGGGAACTAATTTTAGCATTCAGGTGGCCGTCTTCCCCACCTAGGCTGTTAAGACCTCTGAGATCTCGCGGTCCCAGACTGCCTCAAGACGCTGTGTTCTCTAATACCCGTTCTGTACCCGTATGCTAAATCTTTGGACTTCACTAAACTCCCATAGCTCGAGCTTGTATTACATCCCACAACTCCCTCAAAACCACAAAAACATTCATCTCTATATCCAAGGTTGGGTCCTCAACTACCTGTTCTACCGTATCCCCCCCTCATTGACTTGTTTCAGGTCTCGCCAAACAATTTTGAGCCATACATACCCATCGCCGACCGATAGACTACTATTCCCGCTTCGGATACCTTAGCGACACTTTATCACTTTCCTAGCCGACCTTCCAAAACAGTCCTACAGTGAGTTGAACACGCCAGCATAGTACATGATGGATCGGTGGGATCGCCTTCTCCCGTAACCTTTACCATTTCAAAATGATGAGCACTAATCCAATAATCTTTCCAGAAAAATGCAAACTGATATCACGGGAAACTTCAGCGGGAATTCAGGGAATCATAATTTTTTTAGTAGTAATAATAACAACTCGAACACCGTCAACCTGAACAATGTTACCAATCATGGGGGGATATATCAAGGGTGCGTGTTTGGGGCTGGAGATAGAGGTATTATCAGGTGTCCCGAGAGATTTCCCGCCAAAATCTAATGTGCTACCGGTATCACAACTAGGAGAAGCATCCGGGCCTTATCGGATGATTCCATATGGTAGAAACAGCAAGTTCACCGGCCGTAAAGATCTCATTGAGGAGGTAAAGAGGCTTTCCGAGGGTAGCAACCACACCCGGATAGCACTCCACGGATTGGGTGGCTCCGGGTATGTATCCATCATTGTTACCAGAATTTCGCGGGTTTACTAACATTGCCCAGAAAGACGCAGATTGCACTCGAATACGTTTATCAGCGGGCAAGCGAGAGCGATTGTCATGTTTTTTGGGTGCACGGAAGTGGAGTACAAAAGTTCAGTGAGGGTTTCAGAGCCATTGCGCAACATGTCCGAATTCCCCCAGCCAGCGCCGAGATGGACGAAGAGGAATTCCTATTAAATGTAAAGAGGTGGTTTGAAGGTCCGGATAAGGGTGATTGGTTACTTGTCATTGACAATGCCGATAACGAGGAGGACTTTATCGGCAATAGTGGTCGCATCTCCAAATTTGTACCACAAGGACCCAGGGGTACTCTAATATTCACCACCAGATCTCTCCAAGTCGCATCATGGCAGGTTTGCGATAGGATCGATGTCGGGAAAATGGAGGGGGATGATGCCCAAGAATTATTTTTGAAACGCTTGGGTAACTGGAACTGGAATGGTTCGAGAGATGAAGAAAAAGAGGCGATCGCAATGATACTGGACTTCCTACATCACATCCCACTGGCTATTGTAGGAGCGGCAGCCTTCATGACAGTAACCCAGACAACGCCATCAACTTACTGGTCCATTTTCCGGGCAAGCGACGAACAAGCAAAGCGGCTACTTTCACGGCCGTTTTGCGATATCCAACGAGAAACCGATATGACCGAAAGCATCTTAGCTACGTACTTCATCACCTTTGACCGAATCACAGACCAGATGCCCCAAGGGGCAGAGCTTCTGCGTCTAATTGCATTCTTCGATCGCCAGAACATACCCGAGCAGCTATTGAGCGAATGTGGTTTGGAAGGGATGGATGATCCAATTGTGTTTCGTGAAGCCATTGGAAAACTATTGGGATTCTCACTAGTTACGGCTGTCAAATGTAAGGACGAGACATTTTACGAACTTCATCGCTTGGTCCAGCTTTCTCTACAAGTCTATCTACCAACAGAGGAGTTGAATCGATGGAGGGCCACTGCGCTGGGAGTAGTTTCAAGGTTGTTCCCTAGTTATTGGATCACGTGGAGAGATGTTAGTTCTGCATACATTCCGCATATACTTGTGGTAACCAAATATTCAACGGATCCCATTTCCGAAGAGCTTTGCTTTCGCCTAGCACAGTACCTTGTGGATAAGGGTTCCTACAATGATGCAGAGGTTCAATTGCGTCGATGTATTGCCCTTCGGGAAGAGAGTAAAGAGTATGACTGGGATGAGCAAGGTCCCAGCAGAGTTATACACCTGGGGAAGGTACGTGTATATCAGGGAAGAGCAGATATGGCCGAGGAGATGCTTCGGAATTTATTAGAGGATATTGAGGAATCATTGGGCCTAAATAATCACACCGTCCTGAATGCCATTGACTGCCTGGCTCGGGCGCTGCAAGCGCGAGGAAAGTACGACGAAGCCGAGACGATGAGTCGGCTTGCACTAGAAGGGCGCGAGAAGATTCATAGACCCGACCTCTCAGATATCTTAGGGAGTGTCAACAACTTGGCTGCTGTACTGGGGCGGCAAGGAAAGTACGCTGAATCAGAGGCGATGCACCGGCGTGGACTGGAGTGGTACGAGAAGATTTTTGGACCAGACCACCCGGAGACCCTAACAGGGTTCGGCAACCTGGCTCTTGTGCTACAATCCCAAGGAAAGTACGGTGAATCTGCGGCGATAAATCGGCGTACACTGGAGGGGCGTGAGAGGATTCTCGGACCAGACCACCCAGAGACCCTAAAAGGTGTCAGCAACCTGGCTTGTGTGCTAAAATCACAAGGAAAGTACGGTGAATCGGAGGTAATGAATCGGCGTACACTGGAGGGGCGTGAGAAGATTCTTGGACCAGACCACCCAGACACTTTGGTGAGTGCCAACAACCTGGCTGGTGTGCTAC